TTTATTTTTCGTAAATAGAGTTGTTGATAAAATGATTAAAATTGATTAAAAATGATTAAAATGTGCAAAACGTTAAATTCGAATATAATAGTTGTTTTCTATTTACACTCGAGTGATACTAAGTCTGAAGTGATTTGAGTATTTTATATTCAAATAATGACATTACTACTTGCTTATTTTGATAAAAAGTTATCGTATACACTAACGAGATATTAAAGCCATGTTACAAATGAAGACATATATACATAGATCAAGTATTGTAGAATGCGTGTAAAGCGAAGAGCACAGACTCTTGCATAACTCATAAAACATAAAATATAAGAAATTCAATCAATTAAAGTTCTTTATTTCATGAAAAAGAAGAAAACGAAACTTCGATCGGTACATTTTCTTATGCATTACGTGTTATGCAAAAGTCTGTGCTCCCCGCTTAAGCGTGCAGGCAAAAAATAAAAAACGTTTTAGTGTAAAATAAAAATAGTATCCCATAATTGTTTACATGAAAATATTAGATTCGTGTAATGAAAATGAATGCAATTACATTTAAAAAAATTCTTAATTAAAAATAATGATAACACAAAATGTTTTTATATGTAGGTTTGCTATTATCTATATATATCATTTTATTACTCATAAATTTTCGGATAATTATTTAGAAGACGCACCTCACCTTCAATTTTAATAAAATTATACTTATTTGTCGCATTTTTGCATGAAACAAAAGAATCTGGCAATAAAATGCCTAGTTTTGCAAACCGAGATATTAAGCGTTAAAATTAACAACATTGCAGTTAGGAAATCAACTTAATACAACGCTACATACACGTATTTTAGTCTGTATTTATTTAAACGTTACTTTACCTCCGATTTTAATGAAATTAGGCTCATTCGATGCATTTTTATTTAAAACAAAAGCCTGCTCTGTTCTTGCTATGAGCGAAAAGTTATAAACGATGAAAGGGAGCCGATTTGAATATTAATAAACAAACGTTAATATATCGCTGTAGAAGCAAGTCAGTAAAACGTATGCACACGTAGCTATAAAGCATGAAAATGTGATGGCAGCACATGCTGTGTGCAATTAGAGTATGTGCAATCGGAGCCTTTCCAATGCTCATAGTCCGTGCGCAATTAACAACACGACCTTACATCCGCTTACAATTAAATTTGATGTAAAGACGAAATAATAAATTTTTAGAAGTTTTAAAAAAGTAACCGAAAGAAAAAATCGAAGTCCTTAGGTGTACACTAGTGCTTGTACTGCTTGCACTGACTTCAGACCTAGTGCAACCAGTACAGTGAACTCGTGTTCTGTTGCACTGAAACAAAAAACAGTACAGTGAACACTGAGTTCTGTTGCACTGAAACAAAAAACACCGTCGCCATTTTGGGAATAGAAAACGCTTTAGTATACACTTTTTGAACTAGTGCAACCAGTGCATGAACAAAAAACAATGATTTTAATCTAGCTATCAATCGAGTAGGAAAACAAGCATCGTGTGCTACCGGGTTAAAATGCCTTTTCACGCTGACGCTCGACTCTTATTTTCAGCGCAAAATAGGTCACGTGACTTAAAATTGACATCAAAAATGAGCATCAAGTATAAAAAAGCACCTTTAAGCCTACGGCACATTTTCTGCTGGATTGTTAGCTGAATTAGAATCACCATATTGGCTGCAATACTGGCATTGATAACACCGCAGCCAATACGGTGGCAAGATTCTAATTAAGCTAGCAATCCAGCAGGAAAACAAATATTGAGTGCTTTTCAATTACTTAACACATCTTAACACAAACGTACACAGGAATGCACGAAGTATAACATTGTGCACGATTCAATTGGAACAGAATGTGCACGCTGTGCACAGTTAAGATTTGTTTCGAATAAAATTTAATTAAATGTAGCTTTTTCTGCCTGTTTTAAACAAAAAAAAGTAAAAGTGCCGGCCATTCAACATCTTTCAACTTATAGCCGCCAAGTTAGTAACATGTAATTGTCACTAGGAAATCGATTCTGTATCTTAAAACAAGGTGAAAATTACAAAAGTGAACAAATTTACTAGAATACTGATAATTTCATTGGTCAACACCTAGTAAATTTGCTCACTTTTGTAATTTTTACTTTGATTGAAGATACAGAATCGACTCTCAGAAAACACAAGCTTACACAGCCCTCGGCTGAGTACAAATGTGTATAGTACTCCGTTCAACGAGAGAATAACCTCGGATCGGACAAAAACTCGTCTGTTTTGTGCAGATCTTCACAGTGTTGTACAGCGTTACATTAGATGCATCTAGAAGCACGGCCGCTCACTGAGCGCTCATTGAGCTTTTGTACCTGTTTGGTATATATTTTTAGATCTAATGAAATATGCCAATCAGATGCAAGAGCTCATTAAGCGCTCAGTGAGCGATCGTGTTTCTGGATGCATCCAGTGACTGCGTTCAGAAAACTCAACAGTTGAGTGAGCGAGTTTAAAACAACAAAGCGGTTAAATATGTTTATCGAGCGATTGAATATGATTAATTGGATCTATAAGTAACAACCAATTATGCTCATTTGCTCGGCGAGCAGATTATCCGTTTGTCAACTTGAACGCGCCCAATACTACGACCGCTCATTGAGCGCTCAATGAGCTTTTGTATCTGTTTGGTCTATATTTTTAGTTCTAACGGAATATGGCAACCAGATGCAAGAGCTCACTGAGCGCTTAGGGTATATTCACACAAATTTGCATAGTCACGTATGCATAATAAAAATTATTCAATCACATTTTATGTCAGTCTTTAGATGAGAAATGCGAGTGGATAATTTTTTTATGCATACGTTTATACGGCTATACAAGTTTGTGTGGACATACTCTCACTTTCCACCAAACAAGGGTTTAAATAGGATCTGAATGTAAATAAGAACCAACCAACTACAGTTGAGCATTCCCCTCGACTGTGACGATGCCGTTCCATGTACACAAAATCGAAATAACGGAACGAATTTTTACTAGAAAATTGGGTTCACTAGAATTTCGTAAGAAATTTCTCTACCATGTAGCCGGAACGAAATGGAAACAGATGGAATATCGCCTCGGTCGCAAGCTAATTTCGTTGTTTTAATGCGACTAAAAAATATAATTGCATAATTTGTGCAATTATTTTATCTATATCATTACTTTGAATACTTAAAAATACTGAATTATAAAAGTAAGATATATTTTGTTATCAAAATTCCATTGCTTTCCAGCTAAATGAGAAGGGTAGAGAACATTTTTTCAGAACGGAGTAGCATGTTCAGCTGACTTGGTTGAATCTAAAAATTGAAACAAATATTCAGAAACTTTTTTTGTAAATTTACAACAATGGATGAAAAAGTAGTGTTATTACTAATGTTAAAATTATTGCGAAAAGTAAGAAATGTGCCAAGTTGGCGTGCTATTCCGATATTTAAGAGTATGCGAAAATTTTATTTTGTTTATAACATTTTATTCGAACAGCAGAAATATTACGGAACGGAATGCTAGTGAACTCATTTTTAATAATGTCTGTTCTATAATAGGATCGCAAGTCATAAGCAGTAAAAAATTGGCCAATCACAGTTAAGTGTAAAAAGAATAATCAACTATGATTGGTTAATTTCTTACGGCTTATCGTTTACGACTCTATTGTAGAACAGACCTAAGAAATCCGTTCCGTTGTTCCGATTCCGTTATGCATTGTCTACAATGGGCAGTAGCAGTAATGGATTAAGGAGTAGGCGTAGAAATCAACAAATCATAGTCAAATGTGAGAAGGATAATTAACTATCATTGGTCGATTTCTACGCCTACTTTTTAATCCACTACTGCTATTGTCCATTGTAGACTATGTACTCGTATTACATGGAACGGCATCCTAACAGGAGAATACTCGACTGTAGTTGGTTGGTTCTTACATTCTGATCCGGTTAAACCCTCGGTGGAAATTAAACCACTGAGCGTAGTATCACTATTGTAGTATCACAATATGTATAGTAGCGCAACTCTCCTGATTTTATGTTGGCCAAAATGGATTACGTATGCGTGAAATAAGTAAGTTGCCCCGTCTCTTTTCCTCCCTTTTTTTATTGTTCTCTTTCTTTTTCTCTCTATTTAAATAAGCGTTTCAATGTTCCACTTAAACATTTGTTTTTCAAGCATACATAGTTCAAAGTAGAATTTTAGAGAAAAGTGTTACGTGTATTGTCCATTTGGTGAAATGTGTGAGAAATCTCGAGAGATTGATCTAATTTTTATGAAAAAGTGATAAAGTGAAAAAATAAACAAAAAGTAATATAGAAAATCGAGCAAAAAGGATTTCTTTTCATTTATTGTATTTTAAACTTATTTT